AACCGCAGGCTTCAGCTTCACAGCGGTGACCGCTGAAGAGAGCGACAAATTCACCTTAGGGGTCCTCAGTCACCTGCGCTGCTTTACGGCTGCTTCTTTGGCGAAGCCGAAGGGGAAAATGATTGAATAGCGGACGAGCTATAGTCTTGAGCCGAAGGAAAGATACCACGTGGTCCCTTATCAGCATATAAAGAACGCCAGCGCCATGTCAAGAATACAAAGTAGACAGGGAGGCAGAAGTGAAAAAGCGGCATCGTACATAGTTCAGCTAGGAAGCACCAAGCAACAACATCGGATAATTCCCGAGCCCATCAGAAAGTCATCGCCTGTAGCTGAGACAAGAATAAAATAAACAGTTGCTCCCCCATCGTCGTTGCGATTGCCTTACATACAACTAGCAAAACATGTGGTTTTCCCGCCGCCACTACATTCGAGTAGCGCTCTGTTCCTCGATTCCAGCTCCACCCGTTCCGTCCCACAGGCGGCCACCTCCGCCGACCACCGGGCCGGTGTGCTATCTGCGCCACTGATCGCCACCAGCGCGCCACATTCGGTGCCGGTGGCGCGCCAAATGCGCTCCGATATACGTCTGGCGGCGGGGCGCCGCGCTCCATCCGTCTCCGAGAGGGTGATCGTGGCGGGCCGGCCATGTAAATGAGCCAGCCGGCCCTGATAAGCGCGCCGGCTGATTTAGCGAAGGTGGAGGTGGCACCGTCACAGGGTGTCGGACGCGGCAGCGCGCGCAGAACACGGCCACCCAGGAGGGCGGGATGGTAGGAGGAGGCTGCAGAGGACTGGCCGCAGGTGCAGACTATTGGGTAACACACTACCACAGGGAGTGTCTTTCCGTCCGGGTGATTGACGTTCCGTCTTCGACTGATTCGAACTTGGAGTCCATCTGGACAGTGATTGGGTCCGGTCACACTCGCTTTGTGACACTCTGCTCGTTCTACCGTCATCCCACACAGACTGTAGCTCAGATCAGTGCTGACTTAGACGACATTGAACGGCAAATCCAGTACGTTCTGACCACTTACCCTGGGCCCATTGTGTTGGCTGGTGATCACAATCTCAATCAGCTGAGGCTCACCTGTTCGCATGCTCGCCGGTTTGCTGATCTGCTTAATACTTATGAACTACGGATGTGCAACTCAACTGTGCCTACCTACCGTCCAGCAAATTCAGTCATTGATGTTATTGCTGTTAGACCTGCTCACCTTGTGCTTCGTTCTGGTGTCACATGCTGCCACTTCAGCCCTCACAATTTATCTCGCGTTGTAATCACTGTTTCCAAGCGTCGTATTCAACCGTGTGTAGTTTCTACCCGTGGCAAACTAGATTTTGATGGTTTTAACGTTACTCTTTCAATGTTTGATTGGTCACCTGTTCTGACATCTTCGGCTACCTCTGACAAGTGGCATCGGTTTGTTCAGATGTTCACCTCCCTACTGGATCTGACCGCACCGATCCGTCGCGTTAGATTGCGTAATCCTGCTGCCGCACCGGTGTCTGCCGCTACTCGTGCGCTGATGAGTGAACGGCGTGCAGCTTTAGCATCCCGCGACCGTGCTCGTTACAAACAACTCAACCGCCTTACTAAAGCAGCCATTAGACGCGACTGCCGTGATGACATCCACCGCCGTATTACTGAGGCGGGGAGGGGTAGTATGTGGCGATGCCTGAAGCCGAAGATAGGAGGCGGTGACTCACGTGCTCATGCCATTCCTGCAGTCTGCTGTAACGCTCTGAACAGCCACTTTGTGAATGTTGGACCGGCTACTGCGCGAACTGTTCCTCCGCCCTGTCGTGCTGTGCCGTCGCTGCTGCCCCGGGTACTTACCTGCTCTTTCAGCGTCAGTCCCGTCTCGCTGGAGTCTCTCATGTACACACTCGGTAGTTTAAATGCTTCTAAATCTTGCGGAACTGATGGCATTAGTGTTCACATGTTCCAAAAGTGTTTTTATGGCTTAGGACACGTTCTCCATGATATTGTCAATTCGTGTTTGACCACAGGCTGCGTGCCATCTGCATGGAAACACGGTCTCGTTACGCCTCTGCCCAAATCTGTTGACCTCACAGACGTCACTAAATTTAGACCAATCACTGTCGTTCCTGGTGTGTCCAAGATCGTTGAGCGCATTGTTTATTTGCAACTCAGTGAATATTTTGATGAACATCGACTTTGGTCGGCTACCCAACACGGTTACCGAAAGCTGCACTCCACTGAGACAGCTCTCACCGTTCTGTCAGATTTTATTCTTTCGGCTATGGACGCTTCTGAGATCGTACTTGTTGTTCTGTGCGATCTGTCGAAGGGCTTTGATTTAGTTGACCATGATCTCCTACTTGCTAAGCTCAAGTTATACAACATTGACACCACATGGTTTGAATCGTATCTTTCTGATCACAGTCAGCAGGTGCAGTATCGCGGTGCGGACGGCCAGCTGGTCTGCTCCGATTCACTGCCCATCACGATGGGTGTGTATCAGGGTACAGCTCTGGGTCCAATTTTGTTTTCAATTTTCTGCAACGATCTGGCTCTACATGCTTCTGATGCAACCATCATTCAGTACGCTGATGACGTGCAAATCGCTGTACGCGGTAAAAAGAGCCACTTACCTGAGCTCATTGCTACCATGGAGAACCACCTTGGTGCTCTCGCCGACTGGTTCAGCTCTAACAGGATGAAAATTAACCATTCTAAGACACAGCTCATCGTTCATGGCACAAAAAGAACTTTGCAAAGCATCCCACCTGTTACGATTAAGTTTGGTTCATCGTTCATCACTGAAAGTCAAACTGTGAAAAATCTTGGACTTACCATGGATCGCTGCCTGAGTTTTGATGATCACATCACTCACCTTGTCGCGAAATCAACTGGCATCCTCATCTCTTTAGCTCACTCTAGACACGTGCTGCCTTCTTGGACTGTCTCGTATGTGGTGAATGCTCTTGTGGTCAGTTCAATACGTTATTGTGTGTCTGTGTATGGCTCATGCAATGATTCCCAGTTGCACCGTGTGCAGAAACTCTTGAATTTCTGCGCACGTGTCATTGGTGGTCGGCGCAAGTATGATCGGGTATCCGATGTACTTCGGCAGCTGGGGTGGCTCTCAGCGAGGCAGCTCGTCAGCTATCATAGGCTGTGTCTGATCAAGACTGCGCTTGATACCCAGTTGCCAGCGGATATTGCAGCGATGCTTTCATATGTGTCGACACCCCATCACACTCGGCAGTCTGGCCAGTTACAGTGTCCACGTGCAAAGACATGCTCTGGTGCTAGGCGTCTATCTCATGCCAGTGCGTTATTTAACAGACTGCCCAATGAGCTGCAGTCTCTGTCGCGGCCTGCCTTCAAACGACAGCTGAGACTTCTGCTGCTTCGGGAGGTAGGATAGGTTCGTGGAGTGCCATGTCTTATCGCGTGTTTCTCCTCTTCATTTTATGTCATCACTGTTTTATATCTTATGACTTGTATGTGTGACTCGGGCGCTGGAAGAGCCACTTCTCAGTGGATGCAACCACGAATAAACTATGAACTATGAACAGGCTCCGGCAGACCGCAAGCAAAGAGCATTGATAGGAGACACTGGTCATAGTATCCCGGGCTATTTTTACGTATTTTATAAAAAGCGCACGTAGTGAAACACCGACGTTACCTTCTGGAGACGATGTGGGTCGGTGTCTCAATAAATCGATTGCAAAAGTTGATAAAAGATGGCATAATTGCCGGACAATTACGATAAATCACCCGGTGTGGTTACAGTAACGTGTCCTTTAGTGGCCATTTCCCGGGGCCGTATTAGAGCGCCGCTCATTAAGATTATCGATAACTGTAACAGCATTTGGTCATGCAAGCCGCGCAGCCTTGGCTTCCTTCAACTGGTTCATTGGAACTCCGAACTCCACGGTACACAGTACGACAGGATGGACCTCATTGCCCCTCGCCAGAGCCAAATGCTTGCCGCATCCACGATTGAAGTTACATCTTTAGAAAACATTCAGGGGCCCTAAAAATATACCTACACCGAGTTATCCTTCGTTGCGAGCTAACATTTACTTATTCCTCGAATGCAGAGCCAGAAAATGTGCGAAGCCGAGAGAAGTCAGTGGACGGTTGGACGGTAGATACGTTTTTTTTTTGTCCGTTTCAATAAGACAGTGTAGATTTCTGGGTCAATGAGAGACAATGGCCCGGTAACGCGAAGACGGTTGGCAACGAACCCGGTCGTTCCGACTTCCGAGCCCAGCCTTCGCTGACCGATCACAGCTATGAAACGCGCACATATTGGTGGGTACTGCCGAGAAATGACACTGCCGCGACACATATTGGACCCGATCCGTCTTACTGCACCCTGGCAGGCAGCCGAATGTCCGTCTGCGTCTCTGTCACCGACTCTGTCTTCGTCTCCGTCGCCCACCTTTCGTCTGCGCTCACAAACAAAATGCACACGGCAGGGACAAATTAGGAAATTCATTAAGTCTGATGTTACGAATCATAAGCATCAACATGTGAAGGTGCAACGACCCGACCAGCGACCGTTCACCCCTCCAGTAACCAAGACTGCTTTACAACTAAGCATACCAGGCGACAATACCTAACAGACGTGTGCTATTTTGAGACCTATATGGACATATGAAGGCAATATCCGTTCAGTGTAGCCGTAGACCCTTGGACACTGTCTTTGTGAAAAAGGACATTGACACGCGTCGTCTGTTGAGCGAAGTAACGCGTAGTCACCTCGTAGTGATTCCAATATCGAGCACAGCGAATGGGTGCATTCGAGCATTGTCATCTTATCCATCTTCAGTATTGGTTTCGGATTCCAGTCCCAAGATGAGTATTGATGGCAATCTATGGACTCCTTTGAAGATTGAGTTACAGCTCGCCGAATTCTTAATTCAAAGCTGCAAGACATCCATCATTTCCTAAAAGTAAAACAATCTAATAAAACGATACAATGTACTCCCGTTAATGCATCTTTTACACGCTTGTCGTTGTGTGTTGCAGGTACTATGTACCATAGAGGGGAGTCATTTTATTGGCAATAAAACGGCAGCCTGTCGTGACCTGGCCACATTTCCGACTCCTTAAACAGCCGGAGGGCGATTGTCAGAGTTGTCATCAAAGGAGTCAGGGAGACACACAAAAGCGGTTCACGGAACAGTAAAACCGGCAGTCGCACATACACACGCACGAGAACAAAAGAACCTACGGAACGTAGGCGTGCGTCATGCCCCATTTGATCGGAGAGCTACCTAGTTATTCCCTTTATAGAAAGGTCGGTCTGCAACAAAGTGAGAAACTATGCTTGTTGATGAATTGCTTGGCAGCAGCATCCAGGCATACTTATTTCAAAAACTGCTATGCAACTATCCAGGGCATCCTGACATTTGGTTAAATATGTATGTTGTACATGTACAAAACGGATGCTTAGGCAGGTACCAATTTATCTTCGCTCAGCCTAAAAAAAAAACACAGTTTTACGCCCATATGATTCTGGAGTTTCCGTTCCTACCATTCACAGATTCTGCGACTATTCAGTTCCAAGAACCATGACCATGTGAATGGCCAGCTAGGCAGACCGAATCCCTCAGCAGACTCGGACCGGACCGGCCGCGGCGCGGAGAGTTACCTGGGGCTCATTTCGGCCCGGCCGATACGCCGGCCCCGCAGATGGTATCGCGGACGGCGGAGGAAATCGTTCAGACTTCCAGGTCGGCTAAGCGTGTACCGCCGCAGCCAGAGCGAGGCGTGAAAAGGGTAGATCGGGGACGGAGACGAAGTGTTATACATCCCGACAACACCATACAGCATGTAAGATCCGAAGGGATACCATCGGACGGAACATTGGAAAGGTAGGCAGGTTTACTGAAAAGTAAGAGTTCATGTCCTCAACTGAGAGGTCAATAGAATGGAAGTAATAAAATGACAGAAAAAAACGAGAATTGTGGTTCATTGCTGACAGTCCGTCAGTTTGAAATGACTTACTAAGCCCCCAATATATCTCGCGTACACCAGCTTACCTACAAGTATGTGGCGGCTGAAGGGTCCACTCGACACCGGCTAACAATGCTCTCCGGCTGAGCTTATGTAACCAGCCGGATGTCGGTTATCCCCGGTATTGGGCTCATGATAAGACTTATTGAGGTTCCGGTACCCACATCGATTCTTACTACACAGAAAACGTACGGCCGGAAATGGTGACTAGAAAACAAATCACTAGTTCACTTACAGCATCGCTTCGCATTCCGAAAACGCAGCCCTTGGATAACTGGGAGGAGCCAAGGGTAGACGACCAGTCCTTGATCGGGCGGGAAAGATACCTCGCAGCGGAGAATGGCAGGGCAAGCGACTTCACACAGCGCACTTGATAACCCATGCGACCACTCACAACGATTTAAACAGTCGTCCACTCCGCACTCAGAACCCTGTATTTCTGGACATCTTCTCTTAAAATGCCATGCATATTGCATACCATGCATATTACACCATGTGTCATAAACAATACCAATACATTTTCATAGTCATCAATATCACAGCAGAATATCCCGTAACAAAGCCTGGTACGTACGATACACTTGAACTGAAACGTCTTCTTCCATCGCTAGGATCGGACAAACGCAACACGTTTTTTTTTTCTCCGTCACATCACATCATATTGCCTCAATACACATCCCCTGTCTGACGTCACACCACGCCTGAATGACGTCACACTGACGTCACAGTGACGTCACACCCCGCTGAGTGACGTGCCCTCACTTTCTGAGTACGATGACGCTGGGGTCGCGCTCTATCCGGTCGTCCAGCTCCTTGGAGGAGAGTCCCTCCCGCACGCAGATCTCGTCGTACGAGTGTCGCCCGTCAAACAGTCGGTAGGCGTCCTCGGGAAACCGGCCGGTGAGGGCCACTCCGACCGCCAGCTCCGGCAGGTGCACCGGGTACTGGCGCGGTTGGAGTACATGTCACAGCGGTACTGAGGTACCAACTAACTCTCAGTGTGTTAAATATGCCTCTGTCTACGTAAAATAATGAAGACAAAGGTGAACGATTTACACATAAATGGCTACAAGAAATCAACATTCTTTTTCCGCAGATTTCGTTTAAATACCGCGAACAAGAGTCACTATATCAAATATAGCATCAACAAACGCATTACTAGAATGCTAATGCTCAATGTACCTACGTCAAAAAGAAACTTTCAGGATATCTTTTAAATGCTACCACGCCACAATATTGCCAAAGCTACGTACTATGAGGTGCATCTTTTTGCTGAGTGCATTTGCACGATCTTTTTGTGCATTGTATTTTATTTTCACCACTCACCATGCATTACATCAATGGTACAAACGACAAGCATGTATCACACACCGAGCCAGCGCACCATGCGGTCAAACGAGCAAACCACACCGTAAAAGCACCAGGCCAGCATGAAAAACAAGCCCAAAGCTTTCCCGTTCATCATAACAGGCGGAGGGCGGGCCGCCCGCCCGGCCACGGATAACTTTTCAGTCACATTAGTAAAATAGTTGTGCAAACTACTAAAAATGGGGAATTAGTGAGCTGTTAGAAGTGGAAATAAACTTATTATGTGGTGCGTTATTTATTGAAAGGCATTTATCTCAAATCGTACCTACGTCACTGATAGGTTAAAGGGACAGTATCGCCATTTTGATGAAATTTGACATTGCATAGGCCCCACCTTTCTGGTCCGGGAACTGAAGACCGATCCTCGAAGCTCCACACCGTTATCCCGCTATCGCCGCTCAAAGTACGAAAGGTGTACTACACTTTGAATCGTGCTTCACTATCTTCACTGTTTAAATGTTTGCGCCGTTTTGAATTGACCGCCAGTAATAAAACTTTTACCCTGGTCATTTCATCAAATTTTATAAAGCCAAAACGTTTTTCGCACTTATTCATCACCGTTAAATTCATTAAATAGTCGTAAGCAATTTCCGCTGTTTCCTTCGGATTCTAGCGGCTCAACAAAGGAATTCCTCCAGCTTGAATCACAATCTCCCTCCAATGTATGACGTATATGTATGACGTCATCTGATCAGTCTCGATCTCAACGACAACTCAATCAGAAGAGCGGCCGCGTAAGCGTAGCGTCAATAATGTATTATCTGCGCCAGTTCTGTAGTAATTTCGCAGGCTTCCAAAGTGGCGGCCATGCTTGTAGTGGTGGTTCGCTCATGAAAATGACTCGCTCATGAAAAAATATTTTTCACCGAGTTCGGTCCTCAAACTATGTTTTTCTGATTCAGAAAAATAAGAAATGCTAGTAAAAAAAAAATCAGCTCCATACATTGATTTTTTTTCGATGATACTGTCCCTTTAATAGCATCCGCCCGTTTGAGAACTGACAACCGCATTCGTTTATGCATAGGTAAAAAGGTATTACCCGTGCTCAGTGCTTCATCCAGCCAGTCATAACAGGTGTCCCAGTCTCTTTTCATTATGTTTAGGTGATTTTTAATCCAAACCAGACACCAATTCACACCAAACCGTGCTCCGACACCCAGGGAGTCTAGCATGCACCAGCGGCCCGCGGAATCCGAGGACGCACTTGTTCGCAGGGTTAAAGTCACCCTTCGAGCCTGTCAGTGCTCCATTACCCATCCAGTTTGTCTGTAATTCTCCGTATATACGATGTGTGTAAGGGTTAACATGGAAAGCTCCGCATCAGCTGTCTTGCGTCCGTGGATGTGCATCGTGCAATGTGCAATGTGAATGGCTGCGACTCCATGCACCCACTGACCTCATAAACACACCAACAAAAGCATGCAAGGAAACAGTAGGAACGGTACGGACGCGCCACCTTGCAGGCGTGCCCTCTTCCTTATCCCACACACAAGCTCATGCACCAACAGAACAGCCGGGCGTGAGTGGAAGCCAGCGCCAGCTCTGTGGCCGCGGCGGACCCACCTTGTGCACGCGCCGGATGAGTCCCCGCAGCAGGCCGAACTGCACCAGCTTGCGCTCGTTGACCCGCAGCGTCTGCATGTTGTGCTCGGTGCAGATGTCGCGCAGCGTCCGGTCGTGTGTCATGGCACAGTAGAGCGGGAACACGTTCCCCATCGACGCAGGGATGCACTCTGGGGGAGCAGGGGAGGGGAGATTAGGGGGGGGGGGGTGGCACGGTGAGATAGAGGCTGAGGGGAACGGAATGTGGCGCTAGAAGAATGAATTGCTATTCGCTACACCGTTGGATGATACAAAAGAATAACAACCAAAAGATATGTGCCTTGAAACGTTAAACCGTTAAAATAGTTATCACAAAAGTGTTCGAAATTTGACCATTCACAGGTGTTCACATTCTACGTACAGTAGCCTTCAGCGCTCGAACATGTCGCTTTCTTTCTTTCTCCCACCAAAGACTGCGTGATTTCACCAAACCATAGCTTCCCTTACACCCGCTAGGTGTCGTCGTATACTCACCATCCCGAGCCACTGCGCGGCAGCACTCGTCCTGCAGCCGGGGATCCGAGTAGAGCCGCGTGATGTCGGGCGTCACCACGTACGTGTTGGAGTACTGGAAGATGGACGTCAGCTCCACCAGACCGTAGTAGCTGACGGAAGAGATAGGGGAGGAAGGTCAGGTGCGGAAAAGAAGACGGTAAAATGGAATAGACGGCCAGGCGAGGAACACTGCACAGTGCACAATGAAATTAATGAATGATAATGAACGAGTCCAGAACAACCAAATTCGCTTGAAATTTTCCCCACAGTAACTTGTGATCATTCGTTATTAACGACTAGCAAACGTTAAAATCAGCATAAGGAATCCGCTCTTATCCGGCCCAGCTCCCCCGTAGCGACTCACAGCAGGTTCCTGACGCAAGCCTTCACCAGCTGCACCTCCACATCGGCCAGGGCCGATATCTTCAGCACGTGCGCCACGCCCTTGATGTGTGGGATGATCTGCTGCGAGGTCATGTCCCAGTGGTCGAGCCGCGGCGGCCGGCGGCCCACCCACACGGGCACGTGGTGGTCAGCCACGTGATCGGGCGCCGGCGGTGTGCGCACCACCTTCAGGTGCACCGGAACACTGCCATCTGTTGGTGGGTACAGGAACTGGTGAGCGATGGAGAGGACGCGGCGGCGGCGGGGAACGACTGACTAGAACTGCAGTGGAGGTGATTATGAGAATATGAGATAAGTGGCAGAAGCGCAGTGACACATTTGAAATAAAGATTAATTTGCATGTTGACAGATCAGTAGAAGGTAAGCATAAACTGCAAAGTTATAAGTCATATCGTGGACTACGTTATCCCAAAATCTACGGCATACGATACCGACATACAGAGACACATCGATAACAGTTATGCGAATCAGCATAACATTCCACCGCATGCAATAAATCTGAATCAAATCCTACCATCAATAAGCTCCAATTAACCCCACATCTCAAAACACCGTCCCCGATTTTCGGTCTCACCGACTGACAGGACGGCGTGTCCGACGCTGTTGAGTCCCTGCAGCATCTGCTCCATGACGGCCGCCATCTTGGTCTGGGCGTCCGGGGCGCTCAGCAGGCCACACTCGTGCTCCATTTGCACCAGCCACTCGGAGGCCTTCTGGACGACGGGCTCGTACTGCACGGTCCGCTCGCCCACCGCACACACCAGGCACACGTTGAAGATGAGCGCGTTACGTGCGTACTTTTTATCCTCGATCGAGTTGGGGTACCCGACAATCTTGTGACTGCGAGCCGGCCGGCGTCGGTCGCTGAACGACTGGGGGGAGTCGCAGTCCGGGTCCAGGAGGCTGCCGGTGCAGAGGGGAGCAGGTTACGGAGGGGAGGGAGTCACGGAAGGGAGGGGGAGAGCTGGTCATAACAGGTCCCAAAGGGGAATGGGTCACCTACTTGGTCATAATTATTTGGGCAGGATGAAAAATGTGTTGTGCATGGCTAAGGTCAAGGCTGGCAGAAAAATGTTAGGTATGGATGGGGTGTCAACATAAAGTGTCACATAGCTCACATACCGAAAAGATGAGGAGAGGATTTTCATTTATTTATTTCATTTGTTTCATTTATTCAGCAAAATCATCTACGGGATGAATGCCAATGGATTGCTGAGAGAGCTGCTGAATACATATAATTACACAATTCATATAGAGCAAAGATTTAGTACTTTGCTGTCCATAGAAGATAACAATGTTAGGGACACTAAATGTTTTGATAGATAACCACATAGGTACCTAGAAATTTATAGACATCAGTCAGGGAAGTTTAAACTTACACTGTGTTGGTTACAATCCTCTTCTGAATGTCTGGCTTTGGAATAATGTAGACACTCACAGCATCAAATATATCCTTGGATATGTAGTTGTCTGGGAACTGAGAAACAATAATGAAATGCTAACACACCTCAGACAGGGAAAGGATTCTGTCGACCCATTCCCACAGGAATTCAAGATGGACATTTAAACCTTCATATACTGCTAGAAAACAAGCATTATTTCATGTAGGCATGCTTTCATAGCACAGAAATATCAAGGATGCTTATCTTATACAACTCAACACTCCATCTTAGCTATATTGTCTAATCATTTCATAATCATTTATATTTCTTGTGAATGTTATGATTAAATAGGGAACATTCACAATATTTCTATCATTACCATATAATGGATAGCATTGAGGAGGTAGAAAAATTAAAGAAAAGAGAACAAAAAATCATCTGGTGCTTACCTGACAGACAATTCTAGGCCCATAGTCTGCATGAAATTCACTGAAGAAAATACACTGAATGGGACCTTCTTTTTCAAACTCTGGAATGTCTTCCAGCATTTTTCTGCAACTTTGAACAAAGAAACTGAAATATCAATGATGTGAGTTAGGATCAGTTTGCACCTTCATTTTAACAAAATTACATTGCACAAAAAGTTTGAAAAAAGTTACGAAATAGTTATTAACAATCTTCAGTAAATTGGCAAAAATGTAACTCATGTAATTATATATTTCCTGTTTTTTTTTAAAGGTTAGGTAATGCAAGCAAGAAGATATATGATAGCTTGTCAATAAGGACTGATTGTTATCATTCCATGATAAGATCCATAAATCCCAGAAGCACAACCATAACTAATTTCACGTAAGCAGGAACCTGGGCCCCGTTCAAGACAGCAGTTGTCATTGTCACAGTCCTGATCGGTCCATTATCTAAGCCCTGCCTTTTATACTGTGGGAGCCACGGCGGCTGCAGACACTTGAACAGGGCCCTGGCTTAAATTTGATGGTATCCATCCATATAGGGCCCATTTACATAAGGTTTGTTGCAAGTTCCTAACTTTGCCCGAAATGTTGCAAACATGCTGATGGAACATTTGCAATATCCAAAATGATTTCATTCAACCATGGATTAGAGACCATGAATTAGAGACCATGGTATCTCTTATCCATGATTCAACCCTAGGAACTCAAACTAGGAAGAGTGAGTTGGAGTGTTACATCCAAATTTGAATTAAGGCAGAATATCTACATTAAACAAAGACTTGCCAAAAATCCTAGGAAACCAGCAATATTCTTTATGTGGGCGAAGATGGATGACATGATTATTACTAATATAAGGAGGCTTGAAATGATCTCACGCATGTCAAAGTGTTTTTATTTTAAGCAAAATAAATATCTAAAACAGTAAAACAAGCTTTCAGCATTACGCAATCATCAAGTTTTTTAAACTAACAAGTTAAAACAAGTTATTTTTAAACTTGATGATGGCATAATGCCGAAAGCTTGTTTTATTGTTTTAGATATTTATTTTGCCTAGAATAAAAACACTTTGACATGCGTGACATCATTTCAAGCCTCCTTATATTAACCAGCAATATTGGTTCATATGGATCAAGACTGAATGTATGGAATCATGCAGTAAAACCGGTATTAGTATGGCTTTTAGGGTCTTGCAGTAAAAAATACAGTTTTCAGTTTACAATACAGTTTTTTTGTTTTGGCGAAAAAATACCTTGACCTTGCTGTTGCGTTCACCGTCACGTCCGCAACGCAAATTTCAATTTATGCTCTTGGCGAGAATTAGAATAAGTACAGAAAGCAGTTTCTAAGTCCAACAAAAGTTGATGAAGATAACCTTTCGATGGATAAGAACAGTTAAGAAGAATTTTCCGGATGAAAACAAGAAATAAATGAACTCTGCTTAGTGCTTCCTTTTTTCTCTCGTTGTTTACTAATTTTAGGGCTGCGCATTGAGTTACTACTGCGCCAAAACAAGCATAATCTCAAGAGGTTTTGAAATTTAAAGAAGAAAACAATGTTTTCTCTTGCACAGTTGATCTTGAACTAACAAATAATCACTCTGCTCTTAATTTACTCCCAGACCTAAAATGTCAAAAAGTTCAATCCCCTGGTTCAATCAAGGCTATGTAAACCGTAAAGTTCAATGGAATATAAGAATATGGCTAAAAAGATGTTTTATCACTAAAGTATTTCCATGCACCTATTTCCTCAATGACGGCGGAATAGGCCGGGGTGCAGTGCAGGGGGTGCAGGTGCACTCCCATCGAAAAGCATGGGGGTGCAAACATACCTTTTCGCACCACAAAATCCGTACAAGAGGCCCGTCACACCATGCCCAATACATTTTCTCCTCAAAGCCAGTGATCGGAAAATAAACGCTGACGTGGGATCATCGGATGTCCAAATTATGATTTATGGTCAGGACAGGAGCACCCCATGCATAGGCGGCGGAACTGGGGGGGGGGGGGCACCGTGCTCCCCTTTGATTATAACATTAGCCCTATGGGCGTTGCATGGAAAGAATGGGACCAAATGTCGGCAGTGCACCCCCCCCCCCCCCCCTTATTTGAAGGTGCTGGTGTTCCGCCGCTACTGACCCCACCCCATGCTAGTCTTTGGTGCCCCAACCCAATCAGCTAGAAGTGTCCCGAACCGCGTTCGGTGCAAGGCCATGTTCGGTGCCCCATGACGGCATCCGAGGGCCCCGCCGCCCCACGGCTGCCTCTGAAGGCACCAGCTCCTACGGCGACTCTAACGGTCACGCTGGCCTCTGAGGGCCCAGTTACGATGATCTCTGAGAGCTCTCTTACGACGACCCCCCTGTCCCCTGGGGCCCTGGGCCCCTGATGACTCATGACCTCGGGCTCACTGATGACGTCACAGGTCAGGTCAAAGCAAAACATGTTTCATCATTCGCGGGCCTTCTAGGAAATGCGTTAAAACATCGAGCAAAACGCATTTTATCGAAAATCATCGATAGAGCGTCAATTGCCAAGTAAGTAGGTACTTACATATGTTGCTAAAAGAGGACACTGATACCAGGTCAAGTCACAGCAGAGGGCAGGTCACCAGGGGTCGAAACACATTAACCCATCTTTATTAGGGCCGTGTGATGCATGTTTTATGACCAATTTTCCATTTCCAGCTCAATGGTGTTGGTTAGACGACCATCAGGGACGGTTTTTGATTACTTTCTGGTGGAAATCAGGTCAAGGTCAGGTCAAAAAAGGTAAAATTTCAAAGTTGACAGTTTTGCATAAAAAGGGTAGGTACCGCTTTTCGATGGAGCTCATCACGGGGATTCCAATGGTGGTCTTAGTTTTGTTTTACTTGGTCTATGAACGGCAAAAATTGGAATTGAATGTTTGACGTCATCAATTTTGAGCATTTTTTTTCGCCATAACTTTGCCAAAAATAGAGGTACCGAGCTGAAATTTGACACGTCGTTGGCAGACTTATATGTCTATAATGTACATATATTCCGTTTTTTCGAAATTTTGAAATTTTTTATTAGGTATGTTTAGAGATTAACTATTATTTGAAAACAGCACCTTTTTGATTTGGGGTCAAAATAGAAAATAAAAAATCCGAGATCACAGTTTTGTTCATTTATATCTTTCTAATTTCGAACATTTGTCTCTATCTTCAAAACTGTAGGCATGATAGGTTTTCCCGCAAAACCTTTTTTGGGAGTCGAAAATGGCTGAACATGACGTCACTCTGACGTCATTTGTGGCCAACCTGTCGTAGGCTTTGGAACAATGTTTGGACACAATGTGTAAAAGGAATGTAAGTACAAGAGGGATTTCAAAGTTTCGTGACGATCAGCGCAGTAGTTTTAGAGATATTGTGAAAAGACTGGAGGGTGGGTCAAAATATAGCCCCCCCCCCCCCCGGGTGCGGTTTAATATGACCTGGCTCGTTTGTCGCCTGCGCCGAGGCGTCTACCGACGCAAACGGCCGGCCACACGGCTTGCTGGTCAGCCGCGCCCAGCCGCTCTGAGATGCGCTGACTGCTGAGAGGTGCGTTGAGATGCGCTGAGAGGTACGATGAAGAAATGCGCTAGGATGCTAACGACTCCCATCGCTGGTAAACTGTCCGCACCAAATCACTTCGGTGCTCAGTCCGTCGGTCGCTCAAGCGGGTGTTAAGGCCTTATTCAAACGGACTGCTTGGCAGGTCCGCTAACGGCAGCCATTCTGTTGGGTGTCGACTGCTAGGTACTTGTGTTATGGATAAGTGCTCACTATAGCCGGCTACACACGTCCAACTGGAATGTAGATATTGCATTGGTGGGGGGTTGGGGGGGGGGGGGAGAAGACAGTGATAGTTTGGTTGGCATTCAAAACTTGCTACTCGTTATTGAAATTGACATGAAAATTGAAATTCGTCATACCAGGCTACGCCATAACAACCAGTGGGTGCGTGCAATATGTGTTAAACACATACCTATAGCGAAGTGCATAATTGAATATCACACCGGCAAAAAGCAATTTAAGTCGTTTGACTTCCGTCTTCCACCTGCGTTCCCAATCCTTTTGTGATGAGATCATAGCCAGGCGGCAGCTATATTCGAGCGCTTCAGTCGTCATTGCATGCTGCGCTGGACTGAGCCTGTAAAAGCTGCGACGTTTTTCAATTGTGATTGTTGAACGAAAATCAGGCTCGACTCCCCGAGCTCAGTGAACGTGTACTCATAACTTACGACCAGTATAACGCCTTTTGGGGCGACTAACGGAGCGAGTGAGAGGGTGGGCCTTGCACGTGCGAAATTGCGAGGGGGTACTTCCAACTGACTTGTGTACGGCACCCTACTAACCGGTCTCTAGCGAAGTGCCAAATTTGAGCACAATCGGCCCAACCGTTCTCGAGATATGGAAGCGGTACCCTGCACGTGCGCACATGCAAAATGGGTCCCAACTGACTTGTGCACGGCACCCTACTAACTGGTCCCTAACCGTGTACCAAATTTAAGCGCAATCGGTCGAGCCGTTCTCGAGATCTGGAAACGACCCCTGCACGTGCGCACGTGCAGCAGCACCCCAACTCTGGCACATGGATATGCAGTGCCTAGTGGGTGCCTACCTACATACCAACTTTCAGCGCAATCGGCCAAGTAGTTACCGAGATATTGCAACAATTACAAAACTGACACCTCTTCGTTTTGCACGTGACACGTGCATAAGGGGTCACCCACATGCATCGGGAATAGTCCAATACTTGGTAGAAGGAATGAAGCTACCCTACAAAAATTACCGCATGTAAATCGGTCAAGTGGTCGCTGAGATATAAGCCTCGCAAAATCGTGACCACGGCCGGCCGGCCGCTCATACTCAGAAATTTCCGTTAATCTAAGGAAAGACGCTCGCTTCGCTCGCTCCGTAATCATGTACAGGCTACAGCACACAAACCATTATATGTATACTATGGTAGAATAGCAATATGAGGACACCTAGGGAGTTGGCGCAATAAGGGAATGTGAAAACGGCTCCTAGTTATATATTGGCCGTTTTCACGACGGGCTATCCGGCGAATGCACCTAATTTGACCAAATCTGCACCTAATCTCTTTTACAGCAAATATCTTCATTTTATGAATTTATTTCAGTGTTTTAATCGATGATGCTCTCTGATAATATGGCAAAGCAGGCATATAAGCAATTAGTGCAACCCTAGCTGATAGCTGCTAAGAGACACACTGAACCTGATTTGACCAAATCTGCACCTAATCTGTACCAGATGTGCACCAAATGTGTACCAGATGGCCGTCGTGAAAACGGATACTGTAAACTTTTGTTGCGTAGATAATTGTATTTGGGATAATCTATACGGTTGGCTTATAATTATTTACAAATGCTGCCAACATTTGTAAATAATATTCATTTTAGATTAATAAATAATTAATCTAAAATGAATGCCTTTTAGGTATACGTATGATGAATGGGTCATCCCTGCATAATATCCCCGCGTCTATTATCAGTGTTCAGCAGAGCCTTACTGACTCAATAGCATGTCCCATCGGCCTGCGTCCGGTGAGTGTCGGGCCGTCATTGTCCGTCAGCGGTCATCCATCAGCCCGGGCCGCCAGTATTCACATGGCACCTACACGACAGGAGTTAGGTTAAAGGCGATCGCACGGTGCCCCGTCAGAAGACGGGTCAAAAGACAGACCCGTCAGGGTCCTCCGGACAAGAGAAATAAGTCAACCCTCCTTGCAACGTATTCCGTTGGTATTGGCACTCCCTAAGAGGTCACCCTCAGCAGCCCAGGCCAGCCCGGCGCCCTGTCAGAGGTCACCCGGCAGCCCGGCGCCCCCTCAGAGGTCACCCGGCAGCCCGGCGCCCCCTCAGAGGTCAGCCGGCAGCGCGGCGCCCCCTCAGAGGTCATCCAGCAGCCCGGCGCGGCGCGGCGGCACGGCGCCGCAGAATTAGGCCGGCCTCTGAGCAGGCGGCTTCATTTCCGGCCCGATGTCGGCGACACGCTGAGCGCCGACCGGCTCGGGAGAGAGACAAATGAGCGCGGATACCGGCCGACGGCAATACACGGTCACAGTGCACGCCCCGGCCGCGGAGGCGGGCCGGCGACATCGGGGCAACACGACAGGGCCGTTATGCAATGCTGATTTTGTATGCATCTTCCTGTGGAAGAAAGACACCAGAAGTTAATGCCTTGATTGAAAACAGATTTGTCACCGTCTCCCCTGATGCGCTAATATCATCAACTGCTTCACTTGCGAGCGACCGCCCGTTGGCTATCCGCCGCTAGCTTACTCATCTTGCCGCTAGATGTCTCTAGTGATATACGCCTGAAGGTATACTGTCCCGCAAGCAAGACACGACCGCGTCAACAACGGAGCGGTTAGACGGGCGCCCGGTGCCGGAGCATGCTAAGGCACAGCGGTCAGAGACACAGTTCGGCTAGTAATTCTATCAAAATAATACTGTACCTCAAGTGGATATTGTCTTCACCAATTTACGAAAAACATTTTCTCTTCAGCAACACAATAGAGTACCGCCGCATAGCTCGACACAAACAGGATGCAGAGCTCCGCTCGCCTCTTGTGGCGGCGGTGACGGGGTGCGACCGCGGCGTTCCGG